GTTGATGTTATAGTGGTGTTTCGTCATCTAGTTCCTCATGAGTAGGAATGGCCAGAGTTCCAATACCAAAGAGATCAGAACCTTGAGTTAGGTGATGAAACCAGGGTGGTGCATGTAGCGAGGGCCCAAGGTTTGTGAGTCCTTGACCGCTGAAACAAACATTCTCTTCAGCTTGTCTCCAGTCCTTGTTTTTATAGATTCCTTCATATTCTTTGTGATGCAGAATCTCTTCAGATTGTAAGGTGCCAGTGGAGCAGACGTATGTGGGGGCTGTCATTGGCAAAAAGGGCCAAAGACTTGGGTTTCGGTCTGTCCCATTTTGAATCACACAGTCTTCCTGGCATTTCTGAGAAATTGCTCAGGTAGCACCTTGAAACTGCTCGAGATGCGGTGCAACGTTCAGCTGCTTGGTGGAACTTCAACCAAAGGGGTACTCTCACTGGACGAGTCGAAATCGTCCTGCATTTAGCTTGTCAGGATGGACTTCAATCGGGCTGCTGACGAGCAGGGCTTTCAAAAGCTTCGAATCGCCGGTGACAGGAGGGCTGTGAAGGATGCCAAGGCCGTGCTTGTGTTTCTGACCAGGTTGCCATGTTTTCCCCTGTTGGGAACCTGCTAGCGATGGCATCCAACCTACTAGCGATGGCCTTCAACCTACTAGCGATGGCTTCCAACCTAGAAGCGATGGCCTTGAAGAAGCAATGGCCTCCACATATAAATCTAGTACTGAGGGAGCGAAGATGCAGTGAACCGGCGGCAAAACGTATCGGTCGATAGGCTGGCGTTTGCGCGATCATCAGCGGATGTGGCGGTGGGGAACTCAAACATGTTTCGCAGAGTGACAGTAGTCTGCAGCAGAAGTGTACTTTTGGAGATCCTTGTCATGTGAGAATTCTGCGAATATGGCTCGTTTGGCCTACTTTGCAAACTGTTTGTGTTTGGACTTGGACCGATGAAATTAAATGGTCACCATCATCAGAGTGCAACATTTCATTGTATCATCGTAAGAGAATCTCCTGTACGGCATGCACGATGTATTATATATACACTATATGATATGTGTATATATATACATATACATAACTGGTACTGCACTCCTTTTGATGAACACACACACATATATATATATATGATACTCCTTTTATATCATATATTATATATGTATATACACAGTACTCCTTTTGTGCAATTCTGGTGTAGAGAACGAAGTGACAGAATGAACTGAGCATCACAGGCGACCCTGCTGTCATCACGAACAGTCGCTTGCGACATCGCTGGAGCCCCGAGTTTTTTTTTTTCTGTGAGCGCCGAGCAACTGTGAGCAAGTGTGTGGATACTGTGATACTTTAGTCACCAAAAGCATTCAGAGTCTCATAGAGGTGTCCAAGATGAATTGGTTCACGCTCAGTTTGGAGCCAGAGTTGAACTGGCAGCTGAGCGTCAGTGTAGATCTCTAACCCTATTATGCATTCGTAATGGTGAAGGTTGGGATGCGCAATGTTGAAAAGCATGCAATCCTTCAAATTGCTTGAGGTGACGACTCAGCTGACACAGCCTACTCAGACTCAGGCAGGAGAGACCCCTTGTAGGCGAAACAGGGGCCTTATGGAGTTTGCAGAAGTGGGCCCTCTTTAATTACTTGTAGCTTCGTTCGTAGCTTCTAGTTACAGTTGGGAAGCTTGACACTTTGATTCGGATGTGCCCACTTGGCAGACTTTGGCGGGAGAAGTGAATGGAGATCTTCAGCAGACCGTCCTGCTTCGGAATGGCAGAGCAAAAGGTCCGCGTGGACAAGCAGGAGCCAGTGGAACATTCATTATGCTCCTTATGCCCCTTGGAGCTCATTCAGGTGCATCTCGCTGCATTTCTCCCTTGAAACGAACCTGGCCTTTGGACACTTAACAGCTCCGAAAGCTGTTGCCAACCCTCTTTTATTGCTTGCTTGGTTTTGTGAGTTTCCTTCTGAAGGCAGCACAAATGATTGAAGGGTCAAAAACTCCTTTCATCTGGTCAACCTCTATATGATGTTGTCAGATGAATGCAGTCAGGCACCGACTAAGCTGTTGCGAGGGGCATTGGCTGCTTTGGTTGGAAGGCCTGTATGGAAAAGCAACACGGTATAGAGTACAGTGGTCCGAAATGGATAGACAAGCAGCATGCTTCGATTGAACATCAGTTGTTATTATATATATATATATTTTTAAATTTAGGCAAATGCGGCGGAAAGTCTATAGTTCTTTCCATTCCCTGTTGGAATGGATAAAGACAAAGAATGACAGCTGCTCGCAACGTCAATGCATTCCAGCAGGGTTGTGAATTTGCTCGGAAGGTGGTATCATGATGAAAACTGCTATGAGGCGTGTCCCGAGGAGGTTCTGGCAGAAGGTAGCACGAAAGGTATGCATCACCCCCCCCAGGCCCCATTCCTGAGCTTCAAATTCAAAGCTGTGAAAGCCGACCAAGCTGACCTCAACCGGGCGAGTTCCTCCAGACTCATTTGCGCTCGACAAGGCTCCTTCAAAAGGAGGCCACGGGAAGGAAGGTCGGAGCTGTCCGGTCCATGGCGGCTCAGGTGTGGATGGATGGCCGTGGCCGTGACTGTGGTTTGACTTGCGCTTCATGGCATCAATCTGAGCTTCTTGAAGATGAGAATCGATAGCTTGCGAGAGAGGGAATACTAGGGAATATCACCGGGATCAGTCCGATCAGTCTCGCTGGAACAACTGAGGAGCATCGCCGCGCAGGGTGAGACTGTGACCTGGACTTTAATGCAACCCAGTGAGATAACACACTGGCACTTGGTTGATGTATATTCAAGAATACCTTCACACAGAGGCAAAGTTGACAGGCTTTCGCATTGCTTGATTGAGGTTGGTGCATCGAGCGTTCCCCGCCGCAGTATTTACTACGAAGGTGGCTCGACTTTTTGGAAGGAAAGCTCGTTTGTGTTGGACGCTGGTCCAAAGCTACAAGAAAGAGATTATATATGGTTGATTTTGTGCTGTTTCTAGATTCTAGAGGTTCGGACATTTTCCTTGGAGAGCGATGCCGGTACTACTTGAATGTGATCTCCGAGAAGACCGTCACATGGGCCCTTTGGATTTAGCTTCCATTTTGGTTGGACTTGGACATTGTCATTTACTGTACACATTTTTGTCCTCAATCGACACAACATACTCGTCGAATTCACATTCCCTTTGGATTGCCCTTTGGATATAGTCCTAGACCGGAAACGAGCTTGTGGAGGCTTCTAGATGTGTTGATGCTCTTGTTGCCTAGGTGGATGAATCAAATCCCAGGATCATCCTCCGCTGGCTCGAGCACTCAGCGCCCATTTTCCTTGATACTCATGTCGCTCCAAAGGATCCACTGACTTCCCAGGTCCAAAGGTCGTGAGGGCACAGCGACTCGAGGTCCGAGTTCTCGAGACTGAGGTTTCCTAGTTGCGGTCTGCTGTTTTTTGGGGTCTGCAACTGAAGAGTTGGAAACTAGCTGGGACATCAGATTTGCTGGAGCTTTGATGTACACAAAGATCAGTCCGGGAGAAAGGAAATCATTCCCAACTTTTTGTACTTCCTCTTGAACAATAACATCATATCTTTGCTCAACACAGTGGGTGCTCAGATGCGAGGATCACGGGGGTCTCTGTTTGCAGGAAAGTCTTCGAAGAGCTACGGGGGCTATTTCCAGAGGTCCAAGGAGAGGGATTTGGCACTTTTTGGTCACCGAGAGGTTGTAGTGGAGTTGGACACCGGCAGCACCTTCAAAGAGTTGGATCAAACTTGGCCATCTGGGGTGTTACAGCTATACCGGTGGACCCTCAAGTAGGACTGCTACCACCAACCCAACTAGGGCCCTAGGGCCCTTCCTCACAGTCTACCGAAGAGAAACTTCTGCGTGGGATGGAGGAGAACTTCAAGCTCGCGGCCCATGTGACTCGGACAAGACTTCTGGAGTGCAACATCAAAGCTCTTCCGGCCAAACACGTCGAGCCACAAGATGAGGGGTATTTTCAAGACACGACACTTCTTGACGCAGATGAAACGACTCGCGTATGGAGTGCAAAGGTCCCCAAGAGTCATGACCACTTAGAGGCCCCCAAGAGTCGTAACCCCCTCAAGGACTATCCCGCCATTCGCCATTGAGAGTTGGCAGTGAATTTGAAGGCTTTCAGGATGCAAACAGCGACATGGGTATGGTTGCCGTTTGCTCTCCGGCAAAAGATGAAAGCCCATGAATTCAATAGATGCTTGCACTGGCACTGACTAGCTGCCACTTTGAGGTTTCATGTGCACAGTGTGTTTAATTCAAAAATTTGTTTGGTTTATGCATTGTGATTTATTGTGATTTATATAGACATTTATTTATGTAAGAGAGCTTAAACAAATGCACATGACTGTGTGATGCTCTCACCATGTTATTTCCAGCTAAGTCGTGTCGTCAAGACTCCCACGGCTATTGACAGCCAGATGCATTACTTAAATCATCTCTAGATGGAACTTGCCGAGAGAAATAGTCGGCGATTCCAGGATTCGATCGACACAGCGTAGCCGCATAGCAGAGTCAAAGGTCTGGCGGGACGTTTGTTTTGTCATTGCCTGAGAGCCTTGGCTCTGCTGTCCAATCATGAGAGACTGAATTTATGGTTTCTGGCTGCTCAAATGCAGTAGTGCTTCACACCGCAGTTAGAATGACAAAGGATGAGGCGCAAGCTCCCAAGATTGTCAGAAGCAAACACTTGCACTTTTTAATCTTGTCAGAAGCATACACTTGCACTTTTCAATCTTCAGCATGCATTTTAACAGACCCCTCCAATGGCAGCTCTTGATGACCATCAATGGGATTGGTTGCTAATTACTCCGTTGATCCGCATGCATGGACGAGGGTTGAAGGCGCTTGATGGAGTCAACTCCTCACGGTGCCAGAGGAGCTCTAGCTCTCTGTTTGTCCTCTGTTTGTCCCGTTGACACACATCACAAGGCTTTCATCAGATAGAGGCCATGTTTCTGAGGCTTTGCCTGCCTGGGGATGAAATTCCCCTGAACGGCCTGGAGCCAGGCAGGCGTGGCGGAGGAGCATCTCGGGCAAAAGTGGATCGAATTGGGAAAGCTGTGCAGCTTTGGGCGTTGGAGTCCCTTCCACAGTGGCAACAACCATGAGAGTGTTTGAGCCAGGCAGCGGAGTTGCTGTTGATTCAGATAGCGGACGCGCTTTTGCAACGACAGCTGGTGTGCTGAGGCTCCTTGATTTGCTTGGTGAGTGTCTTTTGGAAGAACAATCACATCACAAGACTTCTGCTCTCAGGACTGAGGATGAAGTCAGAGTGGAAAACTTGAGGAAACGCTATGTCCCGCGGCAGGCCTGGCGTGCAGGGAATTGAATCCTCGCTGAGCCAGTCCGGGTTCTGTGCTAGGGCGATTGTGTGGTTGGCATTGTCATGGGGCGGAACGCAGACTTCTTCAAGGTGCTGCCCGGTTTACTAAGTGAGTTCCACAAATCCCTGACACTGTCAAAAAGATGTGGCCCTTTGATTTGTCAGGTGGATATACGTGCACCTTCTCCGGCTTTCCTGCCGACACTGGCGTGCAATTCTTATATCGGTTATTTAGGACGTATTGACTGCTTGAGCACACTGAATCACACTGCAGGTGGAATGGCGCAACCAAAAGAAATCGACCTGTCCTGGAGATGCTCAGTGCAAATCAAGGGACTTTTGTTTGTGCACCTCAAAGCATAAAGATGTAGAGCCAACCTATTCTTTGAGGATTGGGACATTGGTGTATGCACGAGTCGAGGCCAGATTAGACCAAGAAGCCATTACAATCTCCTCTGTGGCCCAGGAAGGGGCACCACTTCTGTGAAACATTGCAGGCTGCGCATCCAGACCTTGACACCGAGCTTTCTTGCGTGGACCCTGACACGAAGAAGTGTGGAACTCAGAAACGCCCTCGACCTGGATTGATGCTTCATCAAGACTCATCTCCTTGTCATGGAGCTGAAACCTCTTCGTTGATATCTCCCATGGAAGGTTGTGTGCCAGAACACACACACACACATACCGATACCATGCCGAGATAGCTTCATAGCCCTCTATGTTAGCTGCAGGTCATGGAACACTGGGGAGGCAGCTGTTAGCCGGGGGCCGGTGGGATTTGTTTTGATTGACATGTACATGGACACTTGTGCCGTGAATGTGATCAGGACTTGCCAAAGGCAAATGGAGATACTCTGATACGCAAGTTCCCTTTCTTGAAGGACATTTAGTATATAGGACATGATCCAGTCGAAGACTCATAGGGGACATAAACTGTGTTCTTCTGCAAAGGCAATGTGCCATGCTGACTGCTGGGCTTAAGCTGAAGTGCCTTTGACGCTATTGTGCTGCAAACATAGTGCAGGGATTTTGTATTGACAATCAATACAAACAATGGCAACAATGCAAGAGTTTAAGAGAAGCACTGAAGCTATTTCGGAGTTTCTTTTATATAGATGGGTAATGCTAGTGTTCTAGTCAGCCTCTTGCTTTAAGGGTTTGTAAATTGATCAGAAACACCTCGGTGAAGCGAGCCATGAGGTGTGGCCATGTGGCTTCTGTCCGTCTGCCGAAAACCTTTAGTACCAGTTGCAATTCTCCTGGTGGTTTTCTTTTTGAACACCCATTTCGTTTACCCGGAAGGCCCTCAGAATCTTAGTAGCCTTGAGTCAATCGCAGATCTATTAGTGCCTGATGCAGTCGATGTGAACAAAAGCATGGGAGCTTGTGCCATTTTTATATTTGTGGAGATTTTCCTTCTGTTTTGTGGGCTTCACTTATTGAAAGACAACCACAGCTTCAGCTCACGTCGATTCGGAAGAAGCCTATTGTTAGTTGCGATCTTCTACTTTGCTGGGTTTCTGAGTCTTCGGCATGGACTGCGGAGTCTCAAGTTTAGTGTTTTTTGGGCTTCGGATTGTTCAGAATACACAGCTGCAGAAAGCTTGCGACTCGCACATTTTGATGCAGACTTGAAGTGGGCGGAGGAGCATTTAGTGCCGAAATCCAATGCACCGGGTGACACGTGCAAGATGTTCATCGCTATCAATGCTGTCCCCAACCGAACAGAGCGGTATCTTTCGCAGACCTTGGGCTCCCTGCTGCGGAGCCTTTCCCCTGAAGAGGTTGAAGGCCTGCGAATTGAGATCTTGTCTGATAGTGCTTCAGAAGAGTTGCACTCGATCTCCATGCACTCGCTAGAGCCCTTGGTCCATGTGGTGTATAATCCAGTGGGCCGGCAGACGCCTCCTGCCAAGTCCACGGAAAGCTGGAGACAGGGCTCGGTTCTGCACTACCTTCATGCTATGGAACGCTGCTTCGCAAGGGTGGCTGAGCATTGCTTGGTCCTAGACGACGACACACTGGCATCTGAGGGCTGGTTGTCAGAGGCATTGAAAGATATAAGGCAGTTGGAATCTGGAGAGTATGGAGTAGAAGGAAAGCGATGGATGATTCTAAAGCTTTTCCAACCAGTTTGGGGGAACCAGCGGCAAAGTTGGAATGGAGACAATGTGCTTCTCTTGATGGCTATGGGATTATTTGGAGCAATTCCATGTAGCTTGATGGGATGGCTGGTCCACTCTCAGTGTAGCTTGACTCCTTCTTATGGCTTCTGGGGCCTTGTGGGGTTCCTTGCGTCCCTCTATGCTTGTTGGGTTGCTGGGAAGGTGAACCTGGAGTGGATGATTGGAGATGCAGCAGTACATCCGCATGGAACTTGCCACATGGCACAGGCCAACCTCTTTCATCGTGAACGGGCTCAGTCAGCTGGATTCTTAGAGCACTTAAAGAATCACTCGATTCATGGGCCCTTCATTGATCTCTCAATCTGCGAATTCTTCCTTGGCAAGGGCCCCATGTGGACCACCTCACCAAGCCTCTTTCAGCATGGTGGCCTCAAGACCAGCCTACCAAATAAGGTAGGTACCAGAACCTGCCGGATTCGGATCTTTCATGAAGGTCTGTTTCGGACGCGAGTGGAACAAAGACGTGTGTGGTACTCTTTGAAGCTTTTTTGGAGAAACACACGCCGAGCAATTTGTGTCTCTTCGGTCTGTTTGTTTCCGGTCAACATCCTTCGACTCTTAGCTGTCACAACGCCACAGCTGGCGCAGGTTCTGCTTGGGGAGCTGAAAGGCGGCTTAAGCTTTGAGGCGCACTCCTTAAGCTTTGCATCCCTGGAATCGCCTCATAAAGGATCCTTGTAAGACTTCACTTGTGAGGTGGCTCTTAGTGCTGCGCAAAGGCTTCTAGGCGCCCAGGGTCAATGGAGATATCAAAGCTCTTCACGTGCTCTGCGAATCTTGACATTTGCGACAGATGTAGATTGCTTCATCCTTGATCGGCTTGGCAAGGACTCGAGATTCCATGGTGGGTTCGCAATTCCAGGGCAGTTATCCAACCAGACGATGTGTTTTTGTAGGTACTACAAAAACTTGATTGTGCGCTGATTTGTAGATCCTGCAGCTTCAAAGCATGACAACAGGGTCGCATTTCGCATGATGAGACTTGAATGAATGTGGGTCAGAAACCGAAAGGTCAAAAATAATTGAGACTTGAATGATCATTGGGGTAAGTTTAGCATTACAATACATGAATGGGTTGTAAGTTATATGATCTTCATTGATGTGCTTACACCAACCAATGCTATTGCAAGGTGTCGTGGCAGTGTTTCATTCAAGATGCTTTATCCAGAATTAAAGCTAGTGGTTAGAAGAGAGGGACTGCAGAACTGGGGGCATCCATATTTGCCTGTCAGTCAACACCCCGGAGGTCTTTTCGTGTCCAGGTTTTTACCCAGCCCCATTTTCGTGCAGAAGTGTATGCCAACGAGTCAGCAGGAACCCAGTTTTTCACTTGTCAGTGAGGACTTTGCCTATGAGCTGTGCGTGGGTCAGAACGGCCGTGTTTGGCTGTCAGCCCCGACTGCCCGAGAGACGGTGCTGCTGTTGCAGGCCACGGATTCTCCATGACACATTTGAGGCTCCTAGAGCCTTACAGGGCCTTACAGGGCTCCAAAAGGACTCGACCATTGAGAGCAATCACTAGGTGCCTCAAAGCAAGGAATCACAAGTCTTCTCAAAGCGGTGCTCTGAGAGATATTACTTTTTGAGCAAGATGCTCGGCAGGCAATCAGGAGAAGCTTTGGAATGAGCAATGTTCAGATCGAGGCCTGATTTTGGACGTGGTCCATTGACAGTCGGTGTGAGCAGAAGTAGTTTTATACTTTTTTGTATTTTTTTAGTCAGGCGATGGTGGGCAAGATGGTTGGGCTCTTTTCCTGATCCTTCAGAAGAGAGTTGGAGCAAATAGAAGTAGAAGCCATCAGATGCCACGCTGTCTGAGCCTGGTGCGGGTGGGAACAAAAATGGGCCTTGAGGGAGGCAAGAGAGTGTTGCTTGGCTGGATGAATATAGACAAGAAGTCAAACATGTTGGCCTAGCAACTGGAGCATGTCCAAAGTCCAAAGGCTCAAATAGAATAGCACATCAACAACATCAGTCCTTTCCCAGGCAGCCAGCCTCTTTGGCTCATGCATCATCGGTTTCCTGTACCCTTTAGAAGATAGGTAGATTGGTCCATGTGAATGGCAACCTGAGATTTTCGGGCTTTCCAGCCCCAGCAGCTGTCATCGAGGGCCAATTTTTTCTTTTGGACTTTGTAGCCAATTCCCTCGCAGATGTGCATTTTAGCCAACTAGGCCACCAACTTGATTTGAGTTCTCAAAAATAGCTTTGCAATCCCATTCCGAAAGCGATGCAATGGCCAAAAAGAAGAAGAGCCAAAGGTCGCCAGGCGACGGCGAGAGCGGCGAGTCGTTTGGGTTCCCGACGTCGCCCAACGACACGTGTTCACGAGAAATGCTCGCTTCTCGCCCAGGCGATGTCTCGAAAAGCCCCGCGGACGCGACGGACGCGACGGAGCTCAGGGAGACCGAGATTGCGGCATCCAATTCCTGGAAGTCTGCGGAGTCCTCAGAATCAAAGAGAGAGAGAGAGAGAGAGAACCTTTGGCCGAACTTTTTGGGGATTGCTTTCTCGCTGATTGTGCGAGAAAGCAAGCTTGGTCTTGTATTGCGATCGGTTGGCTGGGAACCTAGCAGGACCTCACCAAAAAGGACAGAGGAACAAAAGGAAGGTGCTTGGACCCCTTTGTATTAAGGCCTCTAGCTGTAGCTTTTCCAAAAAGGACCCAAACACGAGAGTGTCTTCCGTTCTTTGTCTGAGGTTCCTACCCTATTGCAGCGCAGAGGGGGCGAAGCCAACCCGAAGGTCTCGCTGCAAGAGGCTGATTGATATGGTGGATGTGCACGTGTCAATTTCCCGAGTTTTGACAGATCTATGCAGAAGTCGGATGGGTCATTCAGTGTTTGTGGAAGTCGGATGTTTAAGTTTGGAGTTCTGGGTTGTGATAACCATCAGTCTCTGACGCGGAGCCGCGGAGGAACAGCATGTAGGTCGGGGTACGTCTTGATCGATGTGTAACTTGGGAAGTCTCGTCATCCAACAAAGTCAATCGTGTCAACTGGGTCAACTAAGTTCACAAGTAGGTCAACTGGGTCAACAGGGAGACCCTGTTCAACCGGGCCCCCCTGTCCCGCCCACGCAAGTGGTATTTTCAGTCTCAGAGAGTGAAAGGCTGGCTGGAGGTCCCTTTGCTTGCTCGTTTAATCTATTATTCCGTTCAGCCTAAGCCTAACTACATTGGAATAAAGATCCTCGTCAAGAGGTGCTAACTCAAAGTCTTGTGTGCGGTGCATCAGATTGAGTCTCAATGCAGGCCAACACAGAGCGAAAGCTTGTTGCCCTCGCGGACATGCAGAAGGGTTGTATTCCCGGAACATTTTCAACCTTGATGAACATCAACACGTCTCGTTGGCTGTAAGGTGAAATGGTGTTTAAGATTCCACGGCCAACGCCTTACTTGCTTCTGACTTGTGAGTTCTGGGTCAAGAACACAAAGTACAATGAAACCGCAGCATGCTCTGAGGCACTTGTGGTTCACGGCTGCCTGTCTCAATTCACATGAAGCATCATCCTCAGCTTGGCTGTTTGTCGGTCTGCTGCAAGTCTTGGCGTTCAGATTGTTCTGATTCAGGCTGGCCGAGCGGTCCTAAAATGGACCAAAGCTCAGGCTGGCTGTCAGTAGACATGTCATGAAAAGTACGGAAGCACTGAAGCTCATTTTGTGATTGGACATTCAGCTTCACAAGTCTTTCGGTCCCAGGATGATGACGATGTGCTACGCTCAGGGAAACCCATGAGCTTGCAAGACTTTCCATGTTTGTCGAGTCTTTCAACACTTTCTCTTCTTGATCGCCTTGATTGTTCGGTGCTGCTGCGCTGATAAGATTTCTTTGCCCATCATGCACTCACCACCAAACACACACACACATACCAACCCTTGAGCTTCTGAAGATGTGCACATATCTTTTCTAAGGAACATTTCATTGATTGCATATTTCTCCATGCGGTCACGAATCATTCAGCTCGATCACAGTCATCCAATTTCTATGGCAAAACATTTTGCAGGTTGACTGTGTGTCACAACTGCCTCAGTTCAGGCAGAACTGTGCATGCTTGCCATTCTGCTTCTGCTTGAGCGACGAGCAAAGCGCAGCCCTGAACACTTTGATCAGTAGAGTCTCTTCATGCTTGATGTGGTTTGTAAGATGTAGTGCAGGTCATCTCTGTTTTAGATTCTAGAGGATGGTGAATCTGAGCAATGTCCTGTGGAATCGTTGGCAAGCCTGACATGTGGCTTTCTTGCCTTGTTGCAGAGCGAATTCACGTTGGTCCGACTACATCGCTGCGCGGAAACTCAGCTGGGTTTGTGCACCGAGAGCACCGACCGCCAAAGGCTCATGCTGGCAAAATCTCATGATGCATCCAACTGTTTTTGCCGTATACATACTGTGTATATTATATATATAATATATGTCCAAAATTCTCGCAAGCCGTTGGCTGCAAGCTTGTGGATGTCTGATCTGTAGACTGGTCTTCACAGCACAGGCTTTGCCTTGGTCGGCTGCTTTGCCTTTGACCTGGACGTAAGGGCTTCAGCTTAGTGGTGTGGCCGCTGCGGGTACTCGGGTTTGGCGCACTGCGCGTGGAGTGACGGGCAAATGCTTTTTGCAAACGAAAGATGACGTCCCATTTCTCAGCCCAAGTCATTTGAAGGCCTGAAGAGCTCTCAGTGCTCGGAGGTGCTTCTCCACTGTGGCATATCGAGGACGGTTGGGGTGACTTAACGTCGGTAAGAATGGCCAGATTGCCGTGAGTTTCCAAGGGACCGTTGGCAAGTTGGCGACAGTAGTGGTTTTCTTGACACATTTTTCTTCGTTAGATCAAGCAGAAGCAGCTTGAAAAAGTCCGGTGCCAAGTTCGAGATTCGTTTGGCATTCAGGGAGTCTCAAGTCTTAAGTTGAGCTGCCACATCCCGATTTGAAGCCGGGTCGTGATCAAATCAAGCAACACTTGAGGTCTATGCCTCCCTGCTGACTTTCGTGAAGGCCATAGTCGTAGTGCTCAACCTAATGACAGCCAAAGATTCTTTTCGCAAACCACCTTTCAGGGCAACGTCTTGGCGGAGCTCAAAGATGCCTGCCCCAGCAGCAAGGAGTTCATTCTGGCTTTCTCGAGCGGTTCTCAGCAGCTAAAAGGCTGAAGCCAAAAGGCTTCCGGCTGCCCTAGTGCATCGCTACTAGTAACAAGTGCATTACTACTAGTAGCAAGGGCATCGCTACTAGTAGCGATGCACATTGCTGCTACTATAACACAATTCTTCTAGGGAGCTCAAAAGGGTGGTTCCTCCTGTGGAGAAACACATTCTCAGCTCGCGGAATTTGGCCAGGTTGGCGCATAGTCGGGCCATGGGAATTCCTTCGGTGGATGGCGATGGCCAGCAGCACAGAAAAGGAACAATGAGAAACTGGTACTGGAATGAGATGAGGGAATGGACCCATTCAGGAATCTCTATGGAATGAGCGGCAAAACTTCCCTCATTCCTTACTAAGCACCAGTCAGACAGAAAACCGGTCTTGATCCAACATTTGGCTTTATGCATTCTCTTCAGGTAGACGCTGGCATCTGGCCATGCTCCCTTTCGCTGACATGTGACCTGTCTTGATTGAAGCAACTGTGATTTTGAGAAATAGTTCTGGTCAATCAGCTTGCAGAAATGCAGGAAGCTTCCAGTCGACTCGTTTCAGTGTGACTTCGCAAGTATTCTCCAAGGTTGAACCACAGCTGCACACCTGAAGTCGATTGGGACATTGTAGAGGCACCTACCAAGGACGCCAAGATTTATATAGAAATTGTGTTGTTATCCAGAAAAGAAGGCCTTGAAGAAACACAGAAAGTATTCCAAACCAAGAGCATCGCAGACCTGGGCATTCAGACGAGGAAGGCTTGTGGATGAAATTCTCTAAAGCTTGCGCCTTGGGAACCCTTGAGGATGGAAGCCGCTATGTCGCTGCTCATACCCTCAGTGAGATCCCGGAAGGTTCTGTTGAGGCCTCAGGCCAACTTCAAAGCTTCTCTATAGACTCTAAGCCCTTCTAGGTGAACACTTCTGCAACGTAAAAAAAAGGGTGTACTGTATGTATGTATAACAGTGCATGCAGAGCGTCTTGGCCTTCCTGAAAAGTGTCTGCAGCCTGAGGAGCGTCTTGTCCAAAGGTTCCCTGCTGCTCTTTATTTATTTCGCCTGAGGAGCTTCGCATCAGCTACAAGCGTGCAGGATCTGCGCAGGCCAGAAAGGATCAGTCTCGACGAACTCGTTGATGTTTTAAACACGCCTTCTGAGTGGCTTTCATCGGACCAATCTTCATCACGCCTTCTGAGTGGCTTTCATCGGATCAATCTTCATCTCCTCCAAGGGTTTCTAGAAGATTTGACTTCTATTCTTGGGACCTTGAATCCTTCATCATCCTCCCATACTTCGAACCTTATCATGTGCCATACTTGGTCTTTCCATGCTTGGTCTTTCGATGCGCAAAGCAGGGCTTCTTTGCCACCTATGGCTTCGTTGAAGAGGCTCAAGAGGTGCAGTGCACCGAGCTGAGGCCGAATGCGTGCGGAGCAGACGGGGCGTTGCTCGCGACCGGGGTGGTCGACCGGAGCGGTCTTTGGGTCTTTGGGTTCTGAAAAGACCCGGATTGATCATCAAAGACCCGGATTGAGTGAGAACATCACCCCAGATTTTCGGGTGGTTTTGAGTGAGATCATGGCCATCGTTTTGAACAGGGCTCTCACTAGCTTCAGGCTGGAGCCATGGGATGGAC